TTTTTTTTTTTTGGTCCCACTGTTAATGAGTGGCTCGTTATGAAATTGATGTGAAGGTAAACTATTAATACCAGTTTAAATATTGTCAACAGAAAATATAACATTTTAGGTATTAGTAAAATTAACATAAACATTGTAACGAAGAAAGATACAAACCCAGTGTGTATGTATAGTTCATTGTTCACGGTACCAGATGATACGTAGCCCAACATGGCAACGACGTATACCATCGCGAAAAAATATTACATAAAAAAAGAGGAATTAATTTCCATTAAAAATAGTATTTTTACATTTTTACTTAGTTGGATTAACTATTGCTTGCTACTACTACTACTATTAATATACAAGGTGTTAATGAAATAAGTACTCAAAATTGGAGAGTATGTAAAACATATGATGAAAACCTTAGTAGAGTTTTTGTCAGTGGTGGCCCCTAAGGGAGATACAGCCCCTTGAAGAGGTAACACCGGAAACAGTTTTTATTGCATAACTTCAAAACGGTTTAATATAAAATCACGAAATTTTGGGGTTATATTACTATTTATATGCTTAATAATCGGTATAATATGCAAATAAAAAATTGCTACCTTTTTTATGCAAAATATGATAAATTTTTATATTTTCGGTTTAGGAAGTAGATAAAATTGCGTACAAAAAAGATTTGATCAGTTTTTAGATTCACTATACACTATCTAAACAGAAACTATCAAGTTGGCTATGCACTCGTTTTTGTTATTGTTTATATAATTAGTAATAACTGTCACTTTGAGTGTTTAAGTATGAAGCAGTTAAGCGGATAATTTCTGCTATTTTTCAAATTATTGAAACCGAATTACGCCATGCAATAAATCGATTTTATGTTTTTTATTCGGTGCGTCATAAGAAAAATAGTCGAGATATCTTCTCTTTTCCAAATTGAACAAGGAATTCAAAAATAATTTTTTATTTTAAGAAAAATCAGTGATGTATAATTTTTTTTCTTCAATAATATTTAGAGACATGCCTGTGCGCACGCCACTGGTGAAGCTGAAAATAATATTTTTATCGTTAAAACGTGTATTGTTGTTAACTGTCAAAACCTGTAAAATTTCATTAAAATATTCTGAGCGGTTTCCCCAATATTTATAAATTTGCATATTTTTATTAAAACTTTAACACCCTGTAGATTGTAAAATATGCGTCTTCGGAATATGGTATATTAAGAAAATCTATCACAAATCACTCGTACTATAACATTCTGCAAGGAATGCATGGACTTACCAAATACCCTGTATAAACGTCTATAGTCTTTCCGAAGTCAGTTGAATTTGTATAAAAACGTCTAGCAATAAAATTTAATGAGTTTCATAGACGTCCCCCAAAAAGTTTTCTGCTAGGTAAATAATTATAATAATTTATATATAATGTGAGAAAATTTCTGTTTCGTGTTCATTTGACCAAAAACATGTTTTACTTATTTATGTCCTCAAACAATTTTATTATATTGTTGGTAATTTTGTTCATATTAGTAAACAAAATATCCCTTTCGCAATAATTGTAACATGAATGATTAATAGAAGGTGCCTATAATAAATTAAAATTACCTGAATCACACCAAATTCCGCATTGCTGCACTGCACTGCTAGGTAAGCTGTCAACCACTTGTCAGCAACTGAGATTTATTGATCAGTCGCCCAGTGCAGCTGTGTTATACACCGTTTGCCCGCGCGCGCATTTTTCAACAGGGCGTATACATTTTTACCACCTCCACGTTTAGTTCGACGAGACCTGTATATGGGTATGGCTAAATAAATATGGGAACAAGTTTTTCAAATATTTCAATGCCGAGTTGCTGCGTCAGCGACCAAATCTGGTACATACTGCCAACCTCTTGGTTCTTCAACTGAGATCGGAAAGACTATAACATTATCCAAGGGGTTGGGGGGGGGAGGTGGGGGTGATGGGTTAATCGCGATAGCAATGGTCGGAATTTTATTTTAGTACAAATAATTTAAATTAAATTAACTTAATAAAATTAAAAATTATTTGTTTAAAAATGTAAAAGTTTTCAGTTTTCAGCTCAGTTTTCTTTATTCCAAAATCTCTTTTTTTTTAGACATTAGTACATATTAGCATTTTGTATTAAAATTTCGTTTTACTTAAGTATACCAACGGAATGCGCAAATGGCTTGCACTTTGTAATTGGCTACTCCGTTTAAATAGGAAGCCTTTTAAAATGTATATTTCAAACTCGATTTAAAAAGACTAATTCAGAACTACTAGACTAACCAAATGTTATACGTATGGTTTGTTTATGATTAAATCTTCATTATATACTTTAGCTACGGGATGATACACATTTTATATAATTTTAATATTATATTTATATTTAATTTAACTGAATTTTTAATACACAAATCCATGTCGTTGATTTATTATTGCTTTACCGAATATCTGTCACTTCTAAAGTGACAACACGTGCCAAGAGACTTTAATAATTTAGTTGATATAGTGAGCTCCTTTCGTGTTGCAAATAATAGGCATATAAGTAGTCTATTTAACTTTATTTAGTGGTTATTCGCGTACTAGCTAATGCAAAATGTCTCTATATTAAATATATGTGTTGTACAATAAATGTAAAGATCTATGGATGTGTAGTCTTTATGGGGACACGTCTGTATCCTTAGCGGTTACGATTCTAACTATTCTTAGTTTCAGTGGTTCCACATAGGACAACAAGCGGCCTACACACGGAGCAATCTACAGGGTCCAATCTGCAGGGACCCTGCAGATTGCCTCATGTAGAGGCGAATTGTCACAATTATTTTACGACTATCCGATATCGGGAAGTTGTCTCGGCAGACCATACAACCGCCCTGCTCCCCACCCTTACGCCCTGCATATTGTATGGTGTGTAGCGCAATTGGGACAATAACAGGTTGATTCTAGATTAATGTGGCTCGTGGAGCAAATAAATACGTGTTGTTGTTAAAAAAATCACAGATTTGGAGCCATGGTAGAGCGTATTTACATTTTAATACAAATTCCCATACTGACCGATTGGACCGTGTGGAGAGTCATACCCAATTTCCACCACTCTAACACCCTACAAATTGGTCCCTGCAGATTGCCCCGTGTGTAGGCTGCTTAAGGTAACTGACCGCACTAATCCGTAGATACAAGGTCCTGGATTCCTGGAAAGTTGCTGTGGGTTTAATTGAAGCATCCCAACATTTCGTAAATCGTATTTTCTACGCCTTTGGCTTTATTTTGAACATCTCTATTTGCATTTTAAAACAAAAAAAATTGCTCGGTGTTTTAGACTTTATATAACAAATTGAATAATAACGATGCACTTTATTTTTGTTTACAATGGGAACTTTAGTTATTTTTTATAGTAATTTGAATTATAATATTTACAGAAATAAACAAATGCCAACGAGGTTTATATGAGAGAATATGTAGTAATAGTTTAACCCTGTTATATTTAGGATAATAAAAAACGAAATAACATTTTAAGGTTTGCTTTAAGTTTAGTGAAATTGCAAATGAAGTAATACTCTTTTAGAAAAATAGTACAGTTAAGTTTGCAATCTGATAGCGGATTCAGTTTGAAAATCAAAAATAACCTTCAAATTTTTCATTTTTTTAAAATTTATTCCTACTTAGTTCGTATATATTTTTTTGATTAGTTATAGGCTGCCTTTGAAGGTGTTGTATAGATACACTATTTTTTAACACATAGTATGTTTTGAGTATTTACCAATTTAAATTAATAAATATATAAAATATTATTTAGTTGTTTATTCTGTTGCCGGTTATAGTAATTTATAACATAAATTGCGAGATATTATTATTATAGGTACTAATACCACAAATTTTACAGCTTTGTGTACCGACCCGACTGTAAACATAACATATTTTATTGGGAAAATAAACGGTTTGTTATAACACACTCTGTAGATATCGTTAACTATCTCATGGAAATAAAGTTGTTCAACTATGACTTATGGAAATGAAAATTATTACTGCAATGAAAAGATGAGAAATGAAATTAGCCAATTAGGTTATAAAATAATCTGTTTTTAATGAAGGTTACGAAAAGATCATTCTGGTAAAAGTACAGAATAATTATAAATAAATTAGGAAACTATTGCTTCATTGTAATTAACACAACGTTAGTATACAGAAATTAGGTTTCCAGTTAATTTTTCAATTATCTAATTTTATATCATTATATTTTTTTAACATTATTTTAGGGCAACCTTCAGTAGAAAATACAGGTTACCTTTGCATACTTTTCAATACAAATAAGCTTATTTTTAAAAATAAAATACACTATTTTAGTTAAGTTAGTTATCTACGAAATATTTGTTTATTCCAAAACAGTGAGTTTTGCCCGTTTCAATAACATTAATACATACTTAACATTAAATAAATTACATAAAATAAATTCGCCTAAAAATATTTTTACTGAATCTAAAATTAATTTTAAATAATAAGAGAGATTCGTCTGATACACCTTGTATGCTCCATATTGTTATAATAAACTGGCATGTGCCTAATTTTGTTTAGAATTTGTCAGAAGGACTGCTTGCTTATTAAATTCATTCAGCGTTGGGCAATCTTTTTCTATTATTCTGAATTGTATTTTTTGTAACCCCAGTCGATAAAAGCAATTCTGCTGTAAAGTCTCCTTTGAAGTTTAACTTAATAAAATAATGAATAACTTGAAATTCAAGTTCATTTGCGAAAATGAAATTAATTTCATATTCATGTAGAACACCGGAAAACTTTAATGAATATTAACACCATTTTGAATATTTTTGAAATTTAAAGATGGCAAATATATGTATATATCACAAAAAGTTCGTTTAGTTATCTAGATTTTTTACAGGAAAAAAAATGTGGCACTAAAACTGTGTTCACTTTAAATTATTAATAAAGGTATAATATCCAATATTTGACAAAAATAACTGAACTACATTTTCATTCATCTAATAATATTTTTGTTGTTACAGAGAGATTGCTGGAGGACCATGAATATGTGTTGAGTGCTTACCGGGACATGCGAAATTTCTCTTATCATACCCAATTCAAATTTGTGTTCAGGAAAGACTATAGAAAATACGAGTTCTTCCAAGACCCACTTGTAAGTATATACAAGACACAAAATGATTTATACCTAGTGAGAGATTTATTATTTGTTAACGCAATTGGTATATTAGTGTTATTTTTTTTCTCTAAGGCTTCTATTAAATAAACAACTTATAAACTTGTCTATATTAAAGAAAATCTATACGAGTAATTTATAAAATACCTAATCTTTATAAATGATCACAAGCCACTTGACCGCCGAGCTTAGGCAACCAATATTTCACAGCTGGTACTGTAAACTAAAACTAAAAAATGTTAAATCTTAGGGTCACCAGTATTAATGATTCGTTTACAATGAAAAATGACAAACCGTTGCGTCTACGCTCGAGATAATACGATCACTGATTGGTTAAATAAAATCTCGTGAAAAATTACACCAGTCAGTCAGACACAATGTTGTGTTTTAATGTAATCTTGATCTTATTGTTTGAACTTTACCGAAATTTAATTGTCTGTAATACTGTTCCGAACGGAATTACTGGTCAAGTGGCTTGTAATCATTTATGAAGACTTTGTCGAATAAACCATATTACTATATTACCATATTACTATATGGATCTCGTCAAACTAATTACGTAATTCAAAAACCTGCAGCAATTTTTTTCACCGAAGAAATTGTGAAAATAAAGTAAATGGACAATTTTTCACTTCAGGCGTTTCCAATGCATCCTAGATTATTAAACTGAGACAAAACCTTGATGCATTATAGTTAATAATTTATGAAATTAGAAAAATAAATATTCATTCATTTTTTGTTACTAATTTAACACTAATTATGGAAGAGTGTATGTATATTTATAACAAGTTTATTAAAATTATACTTACATATTTTACATATTCTCAATATTTAATTTTATTGTATATCTCCAAAATACGCATCTATTGGAGGAAGTCATAACAGTACAAAAGTCAATACATCACAAAATATTCAACATTTTTTTACTACCATTTGTAATATTAATTAGAAATAATAAAATTTCATAAATTCGTATTATTTTTATATTAGGTACAACTTTTTTAAATTATTGATTAAAAAAAATGTTGGATATTTTGTGCTGTATTGACTTTTATATTATGACTTCCTCCAATAGATATTTTGAAAGCATTCAGTCGTATTCAGGAAAAGTTTTAAAATATAGCTAAAACAAGCTAAAAACCTTCTTAAGCAATTACAACAGTAACATTATCTAATTATAGCAGCGACGTATTTAAAAAAATTAACCTGATGATGGCCCTTCGAAATCGAAACGTCGGATTGCAAAAATGTTGACGCCATTGGATAGAGCGAAAAAATGGCAATATACCTAAATATGCAATATGTTTTAAAATTCGTTTTCAAATAAAGCCAGAAAAAAATAAAACGATTTTACAAAATTGCGGCTTTTTCCAGATATCTCCGGAACTACCGGGAATTTTAAAACTTTCTAAATGGCATATTGTTAGGTATAAAAATCACAACTTTTTTCTAATTTGAGCCACTTCGTATCTCTTACTGTTTCCTAGATCCTAATGCTATCCCATCCTTATCTTGGACACACTGTATGTAGATTCCACTTAAATATTTTTTTCAAAGGTAATATATTCAGAATAGTTATTTATTTCACCTTTAGCAATAAATAAATAAACCGCCCATTTTTGTGAATGAAATGTTAAAAATAATATTTTTAAAACTAAATTCTTTGTAGGTACCTATTGATAGCTGAGTCGCTTTTTTGAATTAATCTAACTAGATAAAAAAAATCGATTACCCTGAAATACGTAAACATTGTTTTTTTTCTTTTCGTTATGATTTAAAATTAAAAATTCAGCTATTTGAGCGTGTAAAAGAAGTTATTTGTAAGGAATTTACCTATTTGTTATACAAAAATTGCTTTTTTAATCTAAAGGATTTTGGAATTTGGTTTGGAGTTCTACGGATTAACCAAGTTTAAGAAATAGGAGTGTGTAATAATTATTGTAAATGAAAGTTAAAACGTAGTAAACAACTGGTGGTTGAACTTGGACTATATTTAGATCCAATTTTAGGTTTGAATACATTCACAATGTAAATATAATTATTAAGTAATTATCAATTTGTTTGTCGTAAAGGGTATGTTAGAGCAATCTATTTATCGGACTATTAATAGAATACCACCAACGCACATGTGTAAACGTTTGTTTATGTTTATATTCATGACGTACAACAATTATTTTATTTTCACTTGCAGCGACATCTCTGTTTTATTTCTAGTACCATATTATTGATTGTTTCCAATCTAAATGCAAAAATATTATCTCTACAATTATTTGCTATGTAAAATGTACTATAGTAAGTTGTCCATTAGTGATTTGTAATTTTTTTTATTTTATTGAGGTAGTAAGTGGTTATAGTTTGTCGTGAAAGCAATAGCGATGTAGATAGTTACTGAATTCTTCACGTTCTCGCATTGATGTGTGTTCAACTAGTGGGTAGTAGATGGCGCGGTGAGCTTTACTGCAATGTTTTCTTTCTAAAATACAAATATTTAAGTTACGAAGCAAATAGAATTCAGAGAAACATTATAAAAATTATGAATGTATTATGTAAGTATTTGTCTTGTAATTATTATTTAGTTGGAATAGTTAGAAATAGCTTAAATGATGTTAATTATAGTTTCATATTATTTTATTGCGAAAAAGTAAGGACGCAGATAAAAGCTTTATGGTTAAATGGTATGATTCTATACTAAGGCTCCATATACAATGTGTCCCGTTTTTTTCGAAGCTATTTCTGCATCACTGTCAAAAGAATTGGATTAGTTTGAATTTCTGTCAAATGAAGGCTCACTGAACATCTTTGTAAATTTGTGTTCGAATTGCGACATAGGTGTACCCATCAGGACATTTCAAAGGGGCCAGAGATGATAAACAATTCCTTATCAGATGTTAAAATACCGCTAACCATGATTTTTCATCTTACGGAGATATACTTAACACTGCAAACTTTTTATTTCCACTTATCTGTATTTTTTCAAATAGGAACGAATACTTACAGTTTAATTAAATGTTGAAGGAAGAGAAATGATCTTCCAATTAATTATACTATTTTAATAAATAATATTGCTTAATAATAAATTAAATAAATAATGAACTTATAATTAAATTAAGTAAATAATTTAATATATTTATATTACATTAGTTAAATAATATTAGATTTCCTTTCATACAATAACGAGTTAAAATGTAAGTATTCTTTTGAATTTGGAAAAAATACAAATAATGTGAAAGTTTGCAGTAGGTACTTACATAAAAAAGGTTTGTAACAAATCTTGGTTGGGGATATTTTAGAACGCTGTTAAAAAAATCCTTTTTAGTTTATCTTCGTTTAAACTGCCAATGTCAATTTTGACTGTTTGAACAAAAGTGAACTGTTTGAAATGCCTTGGTGGGGACGCCTATGAAGGAATTCTAACACAAAATTACCAAATTGCTCCTCTAGTGAACTTGTTTTATTGACAGAAATTCAAATTATTCGGAAAAAACGAGACACATTGTATATACATGCGGTATGTAATAATAATAACAAAGATTACGATAAAATTAAATATTCTAAAATTCTCATAGTAGTGAAAAAATTACTTTAAAGTTGTCAGTAAAATATTATTTGAATTAAATTTTATTTTGAAAGTAAATATTATACAGGCTATTACGAATTCGCTTCTCACTACAGGGATCTCGAAAACCCTAAGAGATACGAAGTAGTAGTAGTAAATGGGGGCAAAGTTGTATAATCAGGGGACCAACATTATGCATCTAAAAAATCAATGCCAACATGATTAGTTTTCGAAATATTAAAAAAAAAACAAATTTTGGAAACCCGTTTTTGTTTCATATCAGTCTTGCTTGAGGTGTGTTATTGAAAAAAGAAAAACAATTTCTCATGGCAACTTTCTGCCCTCTATCGAATGGTATAATCAATTTTTATTTGTAACGTTTGGTCTCTCCAGGACCATCATTAGCTTCGTTTTTTTAAATACGACCCTGGAAAATTTATTACAATTTTTGCAAGCTTTCATGACCCCAAATAGTGTACTGTCTCAGCCTCAACCAGATTCAGACCTTTTGTCTCGAAAAAATCATCTTCAGTGTATTCGTTCCAAATTTATCTAAATCTTTTATTTAGATTTCTATGTTTATTGAATTATCGTACACTCTATGTGTCATTAGACCCTGTAAAACTGGTTATTTAAACTATTACCATCACACGTTACAATAAAACATTATTAGAGTTTTAATCTCCATCGTCATACATAACTCGATAAGTTGTTGCGACAAAACTAAAACATTTGCAATTTTAATTTCATTATGACAAATTAATTCTTAAAAATGCATATGAACAAGCAAAACTCTAAAGGAATATGATAATTTAAAAAATTACAGTAAATGTTCAAAAACGTTTCCGTTTTTGGCAAATGTTGAAAATAAGCGTAATATGAACTGAATTTATTATACTTGTAACCGCAACTGTGAAAGAGCATGTCAGATGTATTTGTATGAATATCCTTAGATCGAAATTTGTTTGAATTTTGAGCACACGAGAAACCTAGAAATCTAGAAATAACTATGAACACGGGATTAAAACTAATAATGTTTTATTGTAACGTGTGATGGTTAGATGGACTAGATTTAGAGGGTACGATAATTCAATAAACAGAAATCTAAAAAATAATTGATAAATTTGGAACGAATACATTGAAGATGATTTTTTCAAGACACCACGTCTGATGTTTATTGAATACACTCTATGTGGCATTTTAACCGTGTAAAATCCACCTAGTTATTTAAACTATTACCATCACACGTTATCTGGTTCGGGTTGATGCAGTACAGTATTGGGGGTTCATGAAGACTAATAAAATTTCCAGGGTTATATTTAAAAAAATGAAATTGAAGATGGTCCTCGAGAGACGAAACTTTACATATAAAAATTGATTATGCCATTCGATAGAGGGCAAAATGTTGCAATGAGAAAATGTTCTTCTTTTTTCAATATAACTTCAAACAAGGCTGAAATTAAACAAATACGGATTTTCAAAATTTCGATTTTTTTCAAATACATACTTCGAAAACTAAAGAGGCATAATGTAGCTCCCCTTATTATGCAACTTTGCCCCCATTTAAGCTAATTTGTAACAGCCTGTATATGGACTTACTTCCACAGTTTGTATCAAAATTATTGCCTTTTCAAGCACTTAAATTTTTCTTTTCTTACACTATTTAATTTTATTCGCAAAATGTAAACACAAACTTATTGTTCTATTTTATTTGTTCTCAAAAATTGATTAGATTAGAGAAACTTCTAAATTTAAATTTTAAAACTAATGATTTCGAAACGTTTAAATAAATAACAAGGTTTATTACATTTTAAAAGGGTTCAGACAATTTCTGCGGTGGATGGTGTAATGAAGTTACGCATTTCATAAAAAGGGCTGACATATTCAAGGAAGAGGAAGTAAAGTCGAGGGAATATTTAATGTTCTTGTCAAGCTTCTCGACATTTGTGAAATATCTAATAACAGCGGAAGGTTGTGTTATGAATTTGAATAACATACATTTTCTAGACATTATAATTTTTTATAGGCCGTTTTGTTTTAAAATATTGAAATATAATACTAAATAAAACAACGGCTTTCAGTTTTTATTTTTTAATAAATATTCATAAATAATAATAACTGGTTTGTTTGACGATAAGTATTTAAAGAAAATACCTACATATTAGATATTAAAAAACATATCATTTCCTTCAGATAAACACGTTTTGGTATGTAAAAATATACAGCGCTTCCGTAGAGTAACGCATAAATTCGATAAACTTACCAGTACCTATATATTTTTTAATTATTTGTAATACTCCGATTTTAATTTTTTATTTTTTATATGTATACAGAGTGACCGAAAAATGTGATGGTTTTTTAATGTACCTACTTTCGGAAAGATCAGTTTTGGGCTGTTAAAAAACATATTTGAACTGACAATCAGTGGTATGCGTAAGTTTATACTACACACTTGTATAATGGTGCAAATGTAGTGTTAGGTAAGTGTATTAAACGAGATCTTCCCAACTAATAGAGACGAATAGGCGAATTGGGCAATAAGTAATGTCCGTTTTTTTTCAAATTTAAAATATTTTATTTTTAACTCTACAAGTATCAATAGGTTAATCGGTGATGCATCTCCGTCATTTATGAGGTCCTCTAAACGTTCAAGTTTCTTTATGCCTCTTCTGTGTAGAAATCCTTCGGTTTTGACTTGAAAACTCAGCCAACCAAGCTCTTAACTAATTATTGTTGTTAAATGAAATACCGCGTAAGGAATTTGACAAAGAACTGAAAAGGTGAATATCAGAAGACACGAGATCGGGAAAGTGAACTTCCCAATTCAACTCCCGAATGGCCGTTTTGGTCATTTTGGCGATATGTGGTCGCGCATTGTCATGTTGCAAAAGAACGTCGTATCGCCGATCAGGTCTTTTTTGTGGAATACCGGTTTGATTGTTTGGTAAAAGTTCGTAATAATGAATCCATATAACATTGTATTTCGAGGATCTTTGTTTACGTGCAGACACCACTTTTCATCACCAGTGACAATACGATGAAGAAAACGTTCCTTATGTCCACGTATTGATCTTTGACGACAGAGTAAACCAGCGGCAGTTGCGGACCCAAGCGCCTAGTCATATCCCATCCCCTGAATCAATTCCCTTGTTGATTGTCTTGGATTTTGGTGAAGAGGTCGATTCAATTGCTCTTCATCAAACTGAACAGGACGTCTGGATCGATTAATGTCCGTAAGGTTATAATAACCTTTTTTAAAACACGAAAACGCGGAAATCATCAACGAGTTGTTCGTTCATTCATCGCATCATCACCATATACGACACAAATTAAATCGATTAAAATTCTCGATTAAAAACAAAAAGAAGTGCCGAAAATTATCAAATTTATCAACTTAACATTCCATTTCAAATGAATGAAAATTCGCAAAAATTAAATCTAACAAAAATTAAAAACACAATCTGATAATTCCTGTTTCGAATGACATGCGTCAATTTGACAATGCGTTTACTTTTCATGTGAATTATTAAATTTGAAAAAAACAGACGTTACTTATTCCCCAACTCATTATCAAAGTCATTGTATTCTATAGTCGATTTGGGTGGAGAATAAGACAATAAATGTCTCATAGGAAGAAAAATGTTTGTAGGTTTTGAATTACAGTTACCACAACGTCATTGCATTTAATATCACTTTTTGAAAGTCTCTTTTAAATAATAGCCAGAACTATAGATTTCACTAAAATGTGTCCCAAAAATAATTTGGTTAATAGGAAAAAATAATAGTAATAGTGATTCAACTGGGTGATTGTAATGTAATTTTAAAATTAGTAATCACATTGGAAACTTGGTAATATACAAATTAACGTTTGTAGTCGCCACCTTTTAACTTCACCATCGTTTTGCTGACAGTCATTTGACAGTAGTAGAAGTCTTTTTCCTAGAATCACAAAATAATGCATGCTTTAGGTATGTATACAGAGCATCCCAAAAGTAACGCAAAAATTCGTAATTTATTTTGTGTTGCATTTGTACAAAAACGCTAAAACACGTTAATTAGAGTATATAGAATTGTCGTTTCGTCACGTTGCTTAAACCTTTTTTGAGCTATGTTTCATAAACCTATGACGCCATCGGCCCATCGACACTTTTTTTAAATAGCACTACCTAATTTTTGAAACATAATAGGATAGCACTGTTGAAGGGCGTTGATATAGGGTTTGGCCTACTTTGTTCCAGCAGATAGTAGGTATTTGGTTTCAACAGGATGGGCCCTCTCCCCCTCCTCATTTCGGGATTACTGTAAGGAATTACTTGCATGAAATTTTTCCAAATAGGTGAATAGGTCGAAGAGGACCCATTGAGTGGCCACCACGTTCACCCGATTTAACTCCCCTAGATTATTTCTTGTGGGCTTGATACACTGTACACCATCGAGAGTTTAAAAGTGCGTATAAAAGAAGAAATTAATCAGCCACCAGGGGCAATTCAAAATACCACGGATGAATTCGAACCTTGACTCGCCTATTGCCTAACTATTAACGAGGTCACTTTGAACATCTTCTTTAAGTCACATAAAATTGTTTAATTAAAAATCCTTAAGTTATGGTTTTTGAGAAACTCTCGCATTTTTTACATTATATTAAGTACTACATTTGTCTGGTTTTTTTTTTCGCACCTGTCAAAGTAAAGTAGGCCAAACACTATATCGACGCATTTCCCTTCAAAAAGGCTATCCTTTTATGTTCAAAAAATTAGGTAGTGCTATTTAAAAAAAATGTCGATGCCGTCATAGGTTTATGAAACATAACGCAAAAAAGGTGAACAAAATGACAATTCCTATATAATAATTGACGTGTTTTAGCGTTTTTGTGAAAACGCAACACGAAATAAAATACGAATTTTTTGCATTACTTCTGGGACGCACTGTAGAAAAAATTAATTTAATGATTTTTAACTTTTTCGTGAATTGAAATAATAAATTAGTAAATATACATAAATATGTCCAAATTGAAATAAATATCGGATATATTCCAATTTGTTATTGTTTTAACAATTTTTTGAGGACATTTTTTTGAAAAACTGATTTCTACGAACTCATTAGAAGTTTACGAAAATAATGTAAAAAGATTATTCTTTTAGAATTCAATGAGCAATTTATATTATTGGATTTATACGTTTCTTTACGGACACGCTGTATATAATGTGAAACGTATAATTTTGTTCTCTATATCATTGTTTAATTTTTCAGAAATTCTTCCCATCGGGCATGCTGGACGTTGAAAGCGATAGTGATGATAACATGAACCGCAGTTATTTACAGGTAGAGGTAATTTTTTCTATGTTGTGAATGTCCCACAAAATTCAAAATTTATTATTCTAAGGGAATACTGAACAAAAATATATACTGAAAATTTCTTGTACCTATTGCTTATCATTTTTGTAGAAAACTGAACCGATTGTTTTAATTAATTTATTTTTTAATTAACCTTCAGCGTTAATTGTTTCAAACCTTCATATACCTTATAGAGCGTGAGCTAGCGCACATGGGTGTGGCGTCATCGAAAAATGTCTGTAATTTTGAGGGCCGACCCGTGTTCGAAAATTTGGAAAATTAATTTCCTTTTGCATAAAATAATTAGTTTTTCACTCATCTTAAAACAAAAATTTTCATTGTTTCGATTGCCAGAAAAAGTAAACGATGAATTTTTTTTTTCTTCTTGCAAGTTCACCCCTATGAACCACCCTTTCGGCTATTTAAAACCGTCTGGCATTTGAAAACTGTTAGGTACTTATTAATGTCTGTTTTTGTATCAACTACCAGACACTTTAAGATGAGTGAAAAACTAATTATTTTATGCAAACGGAAATAAATTTTCTAAATTTTCGAACATGGGTCGGCCCTTAAAACCAACCACCCTTATTTTCATTAAGTAACATAACTTTTTCATACCTCAAAATGCCAGTCATTTTTCAATGACGCCACGCCCATGTGCGCTAGCTCACGATCTAATAGTCATATTGCTTGTTCGGAAGCGATCCATGGCACTTTTGATTTTCAAAATTTCTTTTTACTAAAGCTATATTTATCATTTATTGTTAATTTTCTTGGTATCTCCAGAAGAATGAATTGTGCCAAACATTTTTTTTTACAATAATAATGAAATCTAAATACCCGTATCTAATTTCATTTGGATCTGACCAGTTATTTTTGAGTTGTTAACCCTGTAACTTTTTCGCTAAGCTAAATAAAATCTAATAAAAAAGCTTTTTGCCCGTCAGTACATGAATTGAAAGTTTGTATTTTATGAAAGATTATGTGGTATGATTAATTTTACTTTTAGCTTCCAACATGAGTCACCAGTTGAAAGATTTTAAAGCCAGTTAATATTTTTAATAAAGATATAAATATTCAGCGAAATTCTCACTGACGATGCAGCGAATGCAAATTTTACAAATACAGCAATAAAAATTAACATAAGTATAAATCTGATATTTACTGTTTTGTATTTGACGCCAGTGTTTTCATTATTTATTGCATTTATTTATATCCCACTAAGTTTTTAATTAAAATATACTCTAGCAATAAAGTCCACAGCAGTGACGTCTATTAATTTATTGCACGTTATCCTAGTTTCGCTAATTTTTTGCAGACCACAGAAAATAAGCGGCGCTGCAACTGACATTTTTTCACCTTGTATAGGTTACGCGGAGTCAACGACCAGCAATTATTTTGCTAGGCCATCGGCTAGCATGCGATATGGCAATTTGCTTTCAATGACATTTGTTTAACATTATTATTTCTTTCCCGCGCCGGCTAACTCGTTGTTTTTGTTCAACTGGAGGTGATTTTCGGCAAGTGTGGGCATGCAGTCCTCAGCTATTTTATTGCATAGCAACTAACAACTAGCTATTTCTCACTCAACGCAACTAGGAAGTGAAGGTAGATGAATCTGTTACATACATGTGAAAAATATAAAAAATATGTGTAAAAACCATCGACTTCATCTTTTTAATCCAAAAAGCCTCGATGAACCAACATCTAAAGCCAATTTTTGCGAGATACTCTTCAACTAATTGAAGACAAATTCTTGGTACACAAGTCTATTTCTAAGAGGCCTAGAAATTCGTCACTACTGAATATTTGGAAAATTTATTAAATACTTTTAATGAGGCATCTCGGTTAAAAAAAATGTGTTTGGTTAATGAGTGTTATTCTAATATTAAAGTTACAGTCCCTACAGTATGTATTTGTTGAAATAGAATTCCAAGAAAATATTAAACCAATAAAGTTCTGTTATCGGAACTATTGTAACAATTTACCTCGGCAGGGGCGTGCCTTGAAAATTTCATTGGAAAAATTGTCTTAAAATAATTATATACACGTTAAACACGATACTCTCTGACTAGTAATCAAATTCCTATCTTTTATTTTTCACCTCCATTGATTTATTTGCCGGCACTGATTTAATTAACTATTGTATACGTAAAAATATTTTCCCTCAATGTTTAAAAATTTCCAAGTTTGTTCCTATTTATTAAAATAATGATATTAATAATCTCTCTAATTTTAGACCTATCTCTGTTATACGTATCTTAAAAATACAAATAACTAACTATTTTGAGACTCGGGGACTTTTCAACCCTNGTACTTTTGAATCCTCAACAATTCGGTTTTCGAAGTAATCTATCTACCACACTGCCATAGTTTGTCTAACATCCACAATAAACCAAATTTTTGAAGAAGGGAAATACGTTACTAGTCAATTATTAGATTTGACAAAAGCTTTCCATTGTGTATCACGAAATTCTTATACATAAGCTACTTCATTGTACAGTTCGGATATATTGAGATTGTTACGGGGAGATTTTTTGGGTTATCACTTCACCGCAGGTTTTCTATATTTAGCCGAGATATTCCTGAGCCGTAATACATAGTTTCAATAACGAGTAGTTCATCTACAGCTTTTTATTACAACTTATGTGGAATTAACAGTAAAATAATCTCAAAAGATAACAGATGTCAATTTTGAATAAGCTAAAACTAACACTGACAACCCTGATCCTTTTTGAAAAGTCTAGAACTTTTATGAGGTCCAACAACCGCCCCGCCATCTAGCTTTCCGGCCGAGCAGGTCCTTTCCACGGTTATCCCTTTTAAGGTTTTATTGTTATAAGATCATATTTGAGTAGGTAATAGATTTCAGTATATATAATAATGTGAAATCATCCAAAGAATATTAAACATAGAGTTCCACAAGGTTCCATATTAGATTCGTTACTGTTTCTGATATACAGGGTGATTCACAACTTATCCAAAAAAATTTGGGAATAGATGCGGCATGAGAAATGGAGTCAATATCGTAAAAAAATTTTTTGTAAAATCCTTATAGTTTCCGGGAAAAAAATTATTGAAGTTATAGTACATTCAACCACTAGATAGCTGGACAACTGTAGTCTCTAGCGTCATTCGCAAAACGCGTGGAGAGCCACGTGGCCTCAGCGACTCCGAATACTGAAATCCGCTTTTGCAATCGTCGCTGCGAAAGTGTTTACCTGTTACCTGTGGTGTTTACAATAGTTTTTTAATAGTTGGCGTCAAAAATGATTTGTGTGGACAGCAACCCGGAGTTGATGGATATCGTATTAATTTATGGTGAAGCATATGTGTTATGGTGAAGCAAGACAACATTTGTGTTAGCTCGTAGAAACTGAGTAAGACGGACCCAAATGTGTTTACACGTTGGTGGAAAACATTTTGAACAATTGTTGTTGTAACTTCGGGTATGTCAAATGATTTTATTATTTAGAAACACAAATTAATTTTATTAATTAATAAAGGCAAAAGCAGTTGAATATGGCGATATAAAATAGGTGCTATAAAATTCTATTTACATATTTCTTTCTTTGCGAAAGTTTTTGTTCGTTTTTATCACACCGCCATGGCGGCCGCATTGTGCTAGGTCAGGTTTTACAGTGGACCAGTTTCCAGTGCCGTGCAGAAGTGTATTTTTAAATCATTTTCGAATTGCCCTTTTTGATTTTTTTCTTTACAAAATTGTTTTTGCAAGGGTCCCCTGTACAACCAGAATTTTTTTCTGGATAAGTTCTGAATCACCCTGTATATTAATGATTTTTCTAATTGTTTACCTCATGATACTAAAAGTATACTCTTTGCTGATGATACCAATATAACTAGAACCAATTTAAACTTGAGGAGTTAATGACATCAACTTATGACCAACATGCATCGGTTGAAAACTGGTTTACTAGTAATCAACTTAGTTTGAATACTTCGAAAACCGAAACTACGATTTTTAGTCTCCGGAATATGGAAGCCTGGTATAATCTAGCACATGTAAAATTCTTGGGAGTTCATCTTGACCCTAAACTGACATGGAATCAACATTTTAATTATGTTTGCTCCAAGATATCAAAACATACTTATTAATTTACTCCGGAGTCTCAAACGAAGAGTCTCAATATCAAGTTTGCTGATAGTTTATCATGGCTATATCTATTCCATCTTAATGCTATTTTAGTATGGGGTCGTGCCCCCACTATGAAAAAAGTTTTGGTTTTAGAGATGATTGTAGAGAGCAGTTTTCAAAGTTGAACATATTAACTGTACCCTGTGCATATATACTTCAGTGTTTTTTATGTCAAAAAATTTATACATAACTTTGAAATCAGAAGTGAGACTCACTCTTATAATACCCGAAAGAGCGCATACTTATGTAATAAACTTCTAAAACTTAGTAAAACTCGGTACTAATTACACAGGTCAACATTTTATCTAGACTTGTGCACTGGAATCGAAGATGGTAGCCTGGGGTTTTTGGGGTCGCTGATTACGATGAGCGCGTCGGTTAGGCTCCATCACGTCAAGTTCAAGGTCATTTGAAGGTCAAACGGTCAAAAATCCGTCCAAAAATCTGAAAAAATTCATGAACATGTTTTTGAGGACGCTGAATCCGAATCCTGTGTTTATTTTTACTTTGCATGCATCCTCGAGGTCATTCGACGTCATCTCAAGACAGGTATTCTAGTTCTGTGGCACAATTGTGCAGAATGAATTTTTTCAGATTTTTCGAATGGTACTTGGCTTTTTTATTTCAAAAACCCCTCAAATAACCTTGAGATGACCTTGAACGACTTCGAGGATGCACGCAAAGTAAAAATAAACACCGGATTCGGATTCGGCGACCTCAAAAACACGTCCATGGATTTTTTCAGATTTTTTGAAGGTTTTTTGACCGTTTGACTTTCAAAGGACCTTGAACTTGACGTGATGGAGCCTAACCGACCCGCTCATCGTAATCA